TTTTAATTATTGTTATTAAGAATGTGAGGCCTGTGAACTTGAAGTTAAACTGGACAGAAGGTGTACTCCCAATGCAATTTCGATCTTACTTGTGCCACTACCTTAAAAACCAGGGCACATTGTCTAACTACCCATCTTATGGTGTGTTTGCCCAAGTGGTACATGCCTGTTTAGTAGCTTCATTGTGTCTATTTTCTTTTTTTCTTTCATTTTCCACATAATATTACAATTAATTATTTTTCATCTAAGGTTTGGATATGCTGTGTTAATAAATTCATGCTATTCTTCCTTATGATGTTTTTTAATTACACACACACACACACAGATAAAACAGTTTTATGTTCTCATTTATGTTTGTGGTTAATTTTTATGTTTATGAAAAAAAAAGCAGGAATTGCAACTACCTTTTTTGTGTATTTTGAACTTTTCAACTTACATAACAGGAACTTTAACTGTATAATAGATTTGACATGCAATCCAAATATGTTTTTATTGGAGACTACTCGGGACACATAACTATGTTGAAAATAGAAGCTTGTGGTTACAGACCTGTAACGACACTTAAAGGGCATTCAGGTCAGTTTGTTTAGATTAATTAACCATTTTGAAACTGTTATTTGAATGGACCTTGTTAATTGTCTTTTGAGAGAATAAATATACATTCACTCTTAAAAATCATTTTATAGAAGATTCAGCATGTTTCTTTTTTATGTTTAACTGGTGTGTGTTTGTGTATAAATATCTATACCAAGAACATTATCAATGTGAAAAATAAAAAGTTGTAAAAAAGCTCAGCCTTATAAAGTGGATATAACAGACACGCAAGTTCAGTGAGAAAAAACAATTGAGGCAACTTTGTAATCTACTATTACTTTTGTTGTAATGTTAATACTAATGATATAGTCTTAATGCAATTTGAGGGTTTCACCTCCATATTACACTGACTGTCAAGACATTCAGTGTAATGCTTTCTGGAGTTGAGTAATCAACTTGGTTGTTACCCTTGTTGAATTTCAGCTATGGGGCCAACTCAAGGCTTTGATTTACCATGAAGTCCCCACTGTTTTGACTGACCTGAAAGATACCACACCAAATAGTCTTGTAATAATATTATTTTAATTTGTTTTCTATTGCAATGTTATTTTTAAAGCTACCCATAGATATGAAATATACTTATGTATTAAAGTTTGTGAACTTTGTTGTATCCAGGAAGTATTCGTTGCTTATCATGGGATGCAGAGCGTCAGATTTTATTCTCAGGAAGTTTTGATCAATCCATTGTAATTTGGGACATAGGTGGTAAACAGGGAACTGCTTATGATCTACAAGGGCATCAGTAAGTATCATCACACTGCTCTTTTTTTTCCCATTAGCTTTGAAAGTTCTTATTGGTTGGTATTGTAAAAGTAAGCATAGCTACATGTACTTATAGGCCCATTTTCAACATGGTAAACAAGTTATTAAAACTATGACTGTTAATTTTGTGATTTACTCTGCAATTTCCATTTAATTCAATAAAAATAAATTTGGGAATTATTTTTCCATATAGAAATTCATATGTTTACTCTGACTGTATAAAATTGAATGTAAGGTTTAAAACTGGTAGAAAGAGCACATTTAAATCTTAGTCATTTGTAATTGGCTTAACTTGTAATTTGAGTAGAAATGTTGAAGTATATTGAATAAGTCATTGCTCTGAACAGAAATTAGATTTTTTAACCCACATATATCTTAGTTAGAAAGCCAGATAAATTATATTGGTTTTATGTATATCAGAATAGTAATTTGTTTTTTGTTTTTTTTTCTAAAATGCATCTTTAAAATCGACAAAAATTATTTTTTTTACCCCTCTGCTTGAGCGAATGAACAAGACTTATGAGGCCTTAGAAAGTCAGATGAGCAAGTACAAATCAATTGTCAATAAATACAATAAATAATTTTTCTATATAGATATATATATTTGTTTATTGTGTTATGTTTTAAGAAAAATAAGATAATTAAGCATTTATGAGTAAATAGTAGTAATATATATACAACTAACATC